CGGCCGGGTCAGCGCCTCTGCTGGCCGTAGACGGGGAAGGCGAGCGTGACGTTGAGCGAGTCGTTGTGCTGCACCAGCGACGTGTGCTGGTAGTGCAGCACCAGCTCCTTCAGCGACGCGTACAGGTTGTACGGCTCGGCGAAGCCGAAGCCCGTACTCGTCTTGTTGATCACGCAGTGCTTCACTTCGCCTTCCACCCTGGAGAGACACACACCCACACACACACGTTAGTGTTGTGTCAAGTTAAACACAACAAGTTGGACAGGGGACAACTCAGAAAGGATGTCAGCGGCGCGTACATGACGGAGCAGGCGTAGCATCCCGGCTTGCTGCTGTCGCGGACCAGGAAGGTTCCGTCCTTTTTGCCTCTCAGCAGCGACTCGGCTTGACCGCGGTTGATGTTGCCCAGACGCCACAGACGCTCGTCGTGGTGAGGGAGGTCCTCCTCGTCCTCCACCATGCTGTACTCGCTAGGGGACCGCCGCCGCCGCAGAGATACAAGTGTAAGAGACATGGCGCATCATACATCGCTCTCTGCTTTTACAGGGGTCATCGATTGACTACTGCGACCCCGCAAGGACCTCATTTAAGTACATCGCAAATGGGTTAAGTACACAGTGTGCATATCAAAGTCGTCGATCCTGCTGAAGAGACCAGCCGGTTCCTCGTTGGCAGCCTTGAAGCGCAGATAAAAGCCTCTGAGAAAGAAGAAGTGAAGATACCGGGCCGAGGACGTCGCACCCGCGAAACGTCAACAGCTGCAACCACAAACCGCTGACCTTCAGTATGACCCCTCTAATCACTCAGGAATCCATTGTGTGTTTATTTGGCCCATCCCTTTCGAAGTTCCTCTAGCAGGGAACTCGGTAATAAAAAGCGAGGAGACGAGTGCGGCTTTTCAGAGCTGTCCCGAGGCTGTAACCGCTCCTTTCAGACACGTCTCTGCACCCTCTCCTAGTGCACGAGACAACTCTGCTTGACTCTTTGTCTCTCTTGCGTTTTAAGCTTTGTCGTCAGGGTCATGTCATCAACAGTCATGTGAGTTCATGTTACGTGTGAGCAAACTTACTCCTCGGTGGTCTCGTTCTTCAGTCCAAGCCACTCATTCAGTTTCCTTTGCCGGACTCCCTTCTGGGTCAACCACCTGCATTACACATGCGCGCGCGCGCGTAGGTTAGCTTTAGCATCACAGAGCGGCGTCCGTGTCGCTTTCGAAGTCGGTGGCGCACATGAGGTACAGGTCTCTGGTTTTGCGCAGTTGGATGAGGTCCGGCTTGATGCTGTTCATCTTCTTGTCGATCTCGCGGTAGTCGGCGGCCTGCTTCTTCAGGTCCACCTCCAGGTGGCGCTTGCTGTCCACAATCTCGCTGATGCGCGAGCGCAACTTGTCGTAGTTCTCCATGATCCTGACGGGACAGCGGCGAGAGGTGACGCGGAGGGAGCAAGCTCGCACCACGGAGCGCTTTCGCACTTCAGTTTTCGGCTTCAATCGAAGAGCGAGACTGGCCAAGACGCGTACGCTCGTCGACACGCTAGCAGAAACAAGCCAGCGGATAAAGTTGCCCAACACACTAGCAGCTGCTTGCTTTGATCTCCACTTAGTGGAGGGGGAGGGGGTAGGCTCTTCCTACGGGCCAGGTTTCTATGGCAACATCCCTCAGGCCTACGCTGACGGTTGCCTCGGCAACAGCCTACCTCTGGATTTCCTTGTCGTTGCCCTCGCGGCGGAATTTGTCGATGTACTCCTTGCTGAAGCGATCCTGAGTCTGACACTGCTCCTCGAAGATCTTGATGGTCTCGTTGAAGGCCTCGATGGCCGTGCGCTTCATCTGGATCTCCTGCGGAAGGCGTGGGCGCGCGTCACCATCCGGACCTCCGCCAAACAGGAAGCCACGTGCGTGTGCGTACCTGAGAAGTTCTGGTGTACTCCTCATAGAGCCTGTCATATTCGCGGTTCTTCTCTTGGTACTGCAGGTGGTACTCGTGGAGCTTCTTGCCCACCGCTTCAATGCTGTCCTCTTTAACGACCTGGTCCTGAAAGAGAACACGACAAGGGTGTGAGGTCCAGGGAGGGGTGGTGGCAAGCCGACGCCGATGACTTGGGGCCCGTCGAGACTTTTTTTTTTTTTTTTTTTAAGGACGGGCTGTTTACCGTTTGGTTTCAAGTGATTCCGCAATTGGAAAAAGTTAACATTTTGAAAGCGCCAACGCTTTTCCTCACAGTTTTCCCGAGGGGAGGGGGGAGCGTCCGCGAGACACAGCCTGTCTACATATCGTGAAATAAGTACTATGAACTCGCGCAACATCGAGAAAAGCAGACAAGCAGCAACTTATTTTCTGAATGGTAAGTACTTTTGATGGCGCACTAAATTTTGTAAAAAAGAAAAAAAAAAAAAACTCAATAGCCAATAGATTGATTCCCTTTTTCCGTGTACTTCTGTACTGACGGAGCCCGTTCAATGAAAAAAGGTTTCGTCACCTCAACATTTTGTAGCCGCAGAGCAGCGATAGGGTGATGTGATGTGATGTGAGGTTAGCACGCTGACAGAATCTGAGACTGGCCCAAGATTTGGGACTGGGGACGCATGCCCCGGGCGTACCTGCTGGTGCTTGGAGACCGGGTAGAGCAGCTTGACGTCCAGCTTGGGGTTGTACTGCGCCAGGGACTCGTGCCGGTAGTGATTGATGAGCTCCACCACCGAGCTGAACGTCAGCGGGTCCGAGAAGCCGTACTTGCCCTCGCGGTGGAAGATCTTAATCAACTTATTGTTGCCCCCCTTCCTGAGCGCGCAACACAATCGGTCAGACTCACCCGTGCCCTCCGTTGCCATGCCGCCGCCGGCGTTCACCTGAGCGTGAGGGTGTAATCGCCGTGCATCTTGGTGGAAGCGTCGCGCACCAGGAAGGTGCCGTCGGCCGTGTCCCGCAGCTTCTCGTTCACTTCCTCCCTGCAACGAGAAGCGGCGCACTGGCGGCAAGCGTCTCTCAGCGCGCGTCCGCGCGCTCGGCGCTGCGCGTTACCTGGAGATGTCGCCCCAGTACCACTCGGCGTCGTGAAGCGCCATGCCGTTGTTGAACGTGCACTCGCTGGCGGACGCCGACGACGACGGCTTGGCGGGTTTGGGAGGTAAAGCTGAAACAAAGACGGAGAAGCCACACGAGTGGTTTTTGCTGTTGAAACACCAAAGGGCTGAGATCGGCAACATCTCCAGATAAAGAAGGGAGTGTTGTTTCTGATATTTCACTTGCAATTTGCATACACGATCAATAAAAAGCCGGCAGAGGCTGCAGAGGTCGGGTGTCAGTTGAGAAGCGCACGCGGAGTGGCTTCATAGAAAACTGCGCCTCCTGTCGGCAGCAAAGACAATCTCTTCTTGAGTCTGCTTGTTAAACTGTCCGAGCGAACATCTCTGACACCCCAACACAAAACCGTGAACTGAATATCACCCCCCCCCACACACACACACACATACGGGCACACACACACACACACACACAGAGCGATCTTCGAGTAGTTCAACTTTGCTCCCGCTGGGCCAGGTGCCCCCCCCCCCCCCCCCCCCCCCCCCCCCCCATGTTAACGTAAAAGAGAATGGAGCCCCGCCCCCTGCGAGCCTCCCGGCACTCCATCACCGACGATGCTGTTTTTGGTCCCCACGTTTTTGTTCCCGTCCGCCACGCCTCAGGCAAACCCAAAGGAGGACGGCTTGGAGATGTGTGACATCACCACCGCACACCCTGCACCAATCTTGGGCATTTGTGATATCGCCACGGCAACATCAACCGTCCCGCGGCAAAACAATGATGTCAACGTTTCAGAAGTGTCCAATGATTGACTCAGCTCGCGTTTGTGACTAATACGGCGCCGCTCTGGCTTCCTCTTGATTGACAAGCGACGACATCTTCACTTGATTGTCAGACTCACACGACAAACAAGGCAACACGCCCTACCACAAAGAGAGCTCGGAGCGATCCTGAGAGGGGAGAAAGAAGCGAGCCAAAATTACCTGGAGCAGCCTGGTTCACGTTGAGCTCGCTATTGATCAGAACCTCCAGAACTTGAATCAAAGGGTCTGGGCCAGACTCACACCTGAAAGGGCAAGAAGGAAAGTCACATTTCAAGACTTTGTTGAAACCAACCTAGCAGAGCAACGGCAATTGATATGAATATGATGTATTCATTTTAGAAACAGTTCGGCGGCACATTTACAAAAAAAATAAAAACAAAAAGAAAACACGTCGTACGGCGTGCAAAGGTGAACCCTTTGAGACTGAACCGAGGTCAATAACGGTTCCGAACGAGAGTCCAAAACTGTCGCGCGTCTGTGTGTGTATGCGGACTAACCCGGCGGCGGTCTGCCTGAAAAGCAGCGGGCTGAAGGTCTCGGCGAGGCCCCTCACGCTGAGCTGGTTGCGGGCGGCATGCGCGCCGAGTCGAGCCAGGTGCCGCACCACGCTGAGGAGGGTCAGGCCGTACTGGGCGGCGCACGTTGGGGAGCTGGCCACGCCCAGCAGAACCCGGGCGCACTCCTCGGGGTCTCGGACCTCTGAGGGTGGACAACAGCGGCGGCGTGAGCGTACGGGTTGACACGAGACCAGGCACCGCGAGTAGGGGAAAAAAAAAATTAAAAAGCACAACTGACAAAAGTCAAGAACCATATCTCAGTTCAGGAACCACGTCAATAAATAAGAAAAAACAAGTCTAGAACCATGTCAAAAACCAAGACAAAAACAGTGGAGGGGGGGTGGGGGGGTCCCCAAACTAAAAACAATACAAGAACCACGTATATGTACAAAGAAATCTCAAAAAAGGTGAAAAAAAGACCACAAAACGAGTTAGAATCCTAGTCAACAACAACGTGAAAAAGCTCGACAAAGAAATTAGCCAAAAACCAAGTCAAAATCCAAAAACCAAAACAAATCAGTAACAGCCACCCTCCAAAATAGTCGAGAAACACGTCAAAAGACATTACAAAAACACTGAAAAGTCACATCCGGCCTTGCCGACGCACGCACCTTGCACGGCGTGGATCATGTCGTCCTGCAGCGAAGACGGCAGGACGGGCCCGGGAAGCTCCTGCAGGAAGCGGACCACCCCGTCGCACAGGGCCGACACCTCCATCTGCTCCAGCTCTGCGAACAAAACACGGCGCAAAGTTGGCAAAGGGAGCCGGCCATCGAAGCTCGCGGCTCGGCGCTTCCTCACCGGCTTGGGCCAGTTGCCTCGTGTCCAAACTTCCTCCTCCGCCGCCGCCGCCGCCCCGGTACAAGCCGGGACTGTCCGCGCCTGCACGCGACAACAGTCTCATCACTCTCAGTCTCGCCACACGTCCGCGGTAAATGTGGCCAACGGAGGAGGTGGCGAGACGACTCAAGCGGCATCTGAAGGAAGGCTCGGCGCGTATCCTCCGCTGACTGCGCACCTTTGCTAGCGTTGGCTGTGACTCGACAGTGGGCTTGTGATCCTTATTGTAGGCGTCAAAGTTTTCCACGCGACTCCTGGCGCAAATGGGCTCACTTGGGCCTGAGGTGATTTGGCTCCGGCTGACGAGCTCGATTTGTGAGCTTGTTGTGCGCATCATCAAACACGACGAGCAGATGAATGCACGTGTAGGAACGATAACAGAAGGAGGCGACGGCGCATCGATCACAAAGTCTTTGTCATTGAGTGGAAGGACACCTCGTATGCCGACTTTGAACCACAGGCCACGCAAACGAGACCGAGATCTTTTTGAGCGTCCGTCGACTCAAACCACCGCGAATGGGAACGGCGACAACGTGACTCCAGCTCGTACGCGTTTTGACCGCGTGCGTTACTGTACGCTGTACTCATTGACACGGCAGCAATTGAGCAATTATTTAGTGGGATGAAAACAATCGAGAAATAAACTTTTGGGGGTGAAGCTGGCAAAAAAAAAATTGGCCCCCCTAAACGTGACAGAACCCCGGCAGGCCCGTGTTTGCTCAGTCAACTACAGCAAGGAGAAAGTCCACCACCATACGCACCTTTGCTCTCCACGGCCTCCATCAGTCTGCTCAGGAGGGGCGGGGCCGTGTCGGGCGGTCCAAAGTGCTCCGGAAGATCTGGCAGCGTGACCCCTGCGAGCGAGCAAAGTAAGCACGGGTCAGCGTCGGGGCGGACGCCCGGCAGCGACGGCGTCACGCGCGCGCACCCACCCTCAGATTCCGAGTCGGTTCTCATCGACGCGGCCGACGGCGGCCTGGGTGGTCGGGGCTTGGGCGTGGGCGGCGACATCCTCTTCCTGCCTACGAATTCTACGTAGGTGCCCGGGAAGTCGCCCTTTTCCTGTCCGGGGAACAGCGCATGAAGCCATTTCTGAATATTCATAGTTTAATACTCAACGATTCTCCCCGTCAGCCCATCATCAAATCGGATTTAAATGGATTTAATCTCATTAAACAACGAAATGAGCAGGTGAGGTGCAGGTATTATTGTCGTTCCTCACTCGGGGCGCCATCCAACGTTGTACGATTTCTGACTTTGAACGTGTATGGCTTGAAAAGCTGGCGCCCGGCCTCCGATTTGCTCGATTGCCGTTCGGTCAAGTAGCGTCGTAATCGCAGCGATCTGAGCGCGTGCTGCGGCAGCCCAGCGAACCGCCGTGCCCATGTGGTGGCAGCCAATTTTTCGCCGCATTTCGTCCCCATTGGCCGATCTCCGCGTGAAAGGCGGCGGTGAATAAACGACGGCTCTCCCGTTCGGCCAATTTGGCCGATTCGTACATCCTCTTTGTCTGGGTACCGTGGCTACTATGGCGCCGGCCCCCTACCTGCGTGGTTTCGTTGAAGCCGGGCAGCCATCCGATCTCAGAGGGTCGCTCCTCGGCGCCGGCGCCGCAGCCGAGCACCAACAGCGCCCCCTTGCTGACCAGCAGCATGTCGCCCACGTGCAGGTCGATGTCCTCCTCGCGCTCTTTCTTGTAGTCGTACAGCGCGCGGTACTGAAAGCCCTCCGACGCCATGATGGCAGCGGGCGGCTATGGCTTAGCGAAGCGAGGAATGGGGAAAGGGGAAAAAAAAAAGTCCCTGAATCCAATTATGAGAATAGCTTTTGCCTGAGAGGAAGACTTTAGCGCGGAGAACGGCGCGGGAGAAAATATGGCGTCTCCCCCGTCTCCATGTTCGCTCAGTGTCGTGTCATCCGTTGAGCGCCAGGTAGCGAGCTACGCCTCCGTTCATGAACAGGAGTCTCAGCTGGGGTGGAGGAGACATCTGCTACACCTGCAACAAGACAGGAAGTCAGGTCATAACAGTGCGCTAATAGCGAAGTCGGACCCATTTTTTGAGGGTGATGCCGATTTCAATATTCAGCAGAATAAGAGTCTGATAGCCGATCAATATGTCAATTAAATATATAATTACTGATATTTAAAAAAATATTTTTGGGGAGGGTGGTGGGGTGGGTCCGTTCAGGCTCACAACGATAATGATGAATTCCAAGAAGAACGTTTGACTGTTTTACAATACTTTGCCCTCGTACTTCTAATAAAATTCCTCAATTCGAAAAGCAATTGGATCATGAGCGCTGTGTTGAATGTGTTACGATTTATGAGAGTGTCTCAATATCTGTTCAGTTTGCAACATCCCCAAAATAAATAATCTCCGGCGAAGGTATCAGAATGTCTCCAACACTTCCATTTTAATTCTTTTAATACAGAGTCGTCAATTACTAGATGTTATTGTTTTGTTTTGTTTTTTTATCAGAAGACCACTGAAACCTGCTTCTTTTGTCCCAAACCTCCTCAGAATCCCAAATTCGTGCTTGCCCTTCAACAGAGAACCCCCCCCCCCCTTTTAAGGACTTGAAGAACAGAATAACTTCACAATGTTGATTTTATTACAGATAAGGTTGTAGCTCTGAATTCTTAGTTGTAATCATTCCGAATTATTCTTTGTTTGGTATTGGTGTTCTGCACGCTAAGATTTTGACGTCACTCGTCAGCTGACCTACTTTGACGTGCACTTAAATCGAATATATGATTAACTGTCTTTCGGACTGCTACACGTCAAGCACCCCAGTGAATGGGATCATTTGAAGGTTGAAATCAATATTTCGAGAGAAAACGACGCAAAACTGCACCAAGGAGCGAGAAAGTAGACGAAATGGGAAACAGGAAACCACAATGCCTGCCTCTGTTAGCTTAGCCTGTTAGCTGCTGCCACTGTTCTCCTCACCTTTTTAATTCGCCAGCGAGCGTCGAGCAGGACACAAAGTGGACTTCATGACACGACGGCGAGCGCGGAACACGACAGAAAGTGACCGAAAGGGGCGTAAACGTCCGGCAATTTGGTTTATTTTCACTTGAAAACTGCTCGCTCGTGGTCGTCACGACTGGATTTGGAAGACAGCGATTCGAATCGGACCAGCGCAGATACGAAGCACATCCGGCTGGGACTTTCACAATACGACTACGTATAACGAACAGAAAGATAAAATATATTTAAATACGTGACACAACTTTGTACCTATATGTATCATATCGATATTACCCATGTATACTTGGATATAGAGATTTGTTTGCCTGTCATTTTTTTTGTGACTTTCAAAAATAAACGCGAACACGCGGGAGGCCTGATGCTCTGTCGACCAATCACGTCTTATTTCCAAATTTAATAATTTTAAAACGCGGCAACATCTGTCCTTTCTCAACAATGTGTCGAGTGCTCAGTGTTTCACGTCTGATCTGTCTCGTGAGGCGTCGGTCGTCGGGTGTGGGCGGCTGACGTCACATCCGCTAACCTAGATCTCGCCTGTCAAGCTTGAGGCTGCGTCGCGACAAAGGAGCGCGCGTGGGGGTGTCACGAAGACGCCACGGTCACGAGATCCTGCCGCTGGGATGCTTCGCCGGAGGAAAGGGTTCATTTGCATCAATAAAACCTTTATCTACACATACACATGTGAAAATGATCCAGACGTACAAGGAATTTATGTCAAGACTTCATAAAAGGTGTGAGCCCTTGTGCAGTCCCACTGTGACATAATAGTGAGGATAATTTCCATGAACCTTATACCCATCCATATTTTCTCTAGTAATGACGTGGCCGGCCAAAGTTCTCGAGCTAAAAGAACCATCAATGCGGTCGATCGCGTTGAGCTCATAAGGTAAGCAGAGCTGCATCGTTTGCTAACAAACAGCGTTACCAGGATTAGCTTCCGATTATTACACTACAGGGGAAAAAAAAACAACTTTTCAGGTGAAATTTCAGGATTGCCCAAAAATGTACGTGGTTTGATGATAAAATGCTGCATCCATTAACAAGAGCGCAACAGACTTTCGAGGGCCATTTGCTCTCATTACGATAATAAGATAAGATAAACTTTATCTGTCCCACACAGTGTTTCATTGCACAAAACAAATATTTCAGAAAAGAATGGGCTTACTTTGAACGATCACCAACTCAATCGTTCTGTGTTGCTGTTGCTGGCGCCGCGGGGTGTATGACTTTGGCCATGTGTCCATTCGTCACTAAAATGCTTTCATTAGCTTGGGTGCTTACTTGTTTTCTACGCTCTTGAAAAAAAAGGTCATTCTTGATCCTTGGGGTATGTTGATGAAAGCATACCAGATTTGATAAGACACCCGAAAAGCGAAAACTGTTTTCAATTGTGAAAAAAAGACTTGACAGTCTCCTTTATTGTTAAAATAAAAATTTACACTTTAATTGACAATGGAGCTGATCTGCTTGAATTCCACATTAAAATGGCCCGTTTTAATTCATTACATCAGGAATATGGGACCACGTTATGTGCTAATCCCCGTCTGTGTTAAAAATGCACTGGAACCACTCATGTCACAATTTGATCGACATTTCCATGGAAAAATATGCCTTTCAAAATCAAGCCAAACTTTGGGAATCCAAGTTGGGTGAACATGAAAGTATAAAGTGGGAACGGCCTCAACGGGGGCTGCTGAGAAAAGTGTCATCACATTCAACACAAGATGACTCCTGCGTCACGTGCTTCATCCATGACTTGCCGAACAGTTGACTTGTTTCAACAATTTAAAATTGCCTGTAAAGTTCATAAAGGCCCACGCTTTGACCCTCCACACATGGCTTTCATTCCAACTCGAAAGTGGACCGGCGTTCCGAAATGGACGCTTAATCTTAGAGGTTCCGGTCTAACGTTAGGACAGATATTGAGCTCAAGATGCGTGTTGCACATCCCAAGTGTGATTTTGGGTCACCAGCACGATGAGAAGGCTGTGAGAAGTCAGCGCTACAAGCGAAAGACATCTCCGAGCTTGTGCACGTGTAGCCTGATGCTGCCCACCAGCTGCAGACGCTCCTTCAGGAAGTGGCCCACCTGCTCCGAGTACGCCACGTCGCAGAACACCCAGATCTCGGCATGCTCACGCTGGATGTTGGCGTTGCACGTGGGCAAGCCGGCGCGCCGGGCGGCTTTGCTCAGGGCTTGCCATACCTGCGGCGGGCGAGCGAGATATAGGATTCACAAACATCACCGTGACATCATTCAGGGATACATGGAAAACAAGCACGACTTGTCTTGGATAATGTCGTCGTCATTTGCTTTGTGGAGAAGCCCTCGAAGACAATGACATCGCGGACGGCTGCCATGTTTGTACCTGTTCGATGTCTCGTACGGCTCCACAGTTGTGCTGACTGATGACCCACTTGGACCTCTGGCGCAGGTGCAGCGCGTGCACGGACAAGGCGTGTCGGAAGCCTTTCGAGAGCGATGGCGAGCGGTGACGAACACTTTTGGAAGCCAACACGCTCCAGGACCGTTTGACCGCCATCGCTGCAACAGACGCGCTCTTCTTGTCAACAACGGAGGGCGAGTTTGTGGTTCCGCCAACGCCTTCTTTTAAAGCCTCCGGTCGGCACTTGACATCTGCCGCGTTGATGACGGGAGCGCATTTGGCTGGTCTGATGGGCGGAGGCCGTCGTGCTGACGAGTCCGAGAACCACGGCGTGAAGACGGGAGGAGGGCGGCAGGGGAAAGGTTCCAGGAGCTTTTCTGTGGTTGCAATTAAATCGCTCAGCCCGTCAGAGCCTTCGAGACGGTGGTGAAGTACCACATCCTCCATCATCACGCCTCATCTTCATCACATACATGCTGAAACAACAAAATGTTCAAACGGTGTAAATCTTGCAGCACCAGGCCGTTCTTTTGGTGCGTGGGGCTTCAGTAAGTGAGTTAATTCACCTCTTAATACCACCACTACTATCACGTAGCAAGTACAGAGACCATCGATACTATCCATCCCTCCATCCATCCATCCATCCATCGATTTTCAACACCGTGTATCCCGTGTACGATCGCGGGGGGGGGTGCTGGAGACGATTCCAGCTGACTTCGGGCTACATCCTGACCTGATCGCCAATCAGTCGCAGGACACATATTGAGACAAACAACCATTCGACCCCCACATCCACATCCACACCGTCACTGAGTGTGAAACGATCCCACGTTCCCCGCGCACCAGTCAGACGAGTGGACCATCAGCGATTTAACGACACAATAAAATGATGTAATGATGTACGTAGTACGTATGGAGCTGCTCGGAATCAGTGACTCTCGAATATGAAACAAACAATTCACCAGTTATGGGGTGACGCGAAGTCGTAAACTTAAAGGATCCAGTCTATTTGAAATCGCGGCTGTTATGTACAGTGTTGTGGTCGTTTCGGGTCGGTCCCAGAGCAAAGCTTGCAAACTCAACGTCATCTCGGGACTGTCAAGATTTAAACGGCAGAGGCTAACAGTTAAATATGGGCGTAGATTTAACTCGATAAACACAATGAGGCAGAAACACCATTCAAGTACAATACCTTCACGTTGGTCGTCGTGAAGTTGACCGTTGCGAGCCAATGCGGAAATCTCGGAGTCTCTCGCGACAGTTTCATCGAACCCGCAGCGAGATCCCCCACTTCGGCTTGCTAAGTAGCCGAGCAAAGCTTGGAAATAAATGTCAAACGGGGGTAACTTCTCAGTAGTCGCGAGCCAGAAGATGACAGCCGAACACTGCGACCCATTAAAAATATAATTAAGTAAATACAAACGAAAAGTACCGACCTTCGGGTCGACCACCGAGTAATTAAAACAATGCTATTACGGTACACATCTCGGGAGTCTCGCGGTACCGGAATCAACCACAGCGACACCGTCTCGGATTGCACGTAGACTCCAGTATTTTAAATGACACTTGGGGTTTAAACGACGTAATTACACGTGAACGTAAACTTAACATTCGAGCTATATTTTAGTGAAGAAAAATCTACTATTTACTTCTTAACTCATTGCTGGTCATCTTTGGTTACTTTATAAAACAGCTTGGAATGCATGTCGGGTTCATGGTTAGATACCGAGCTACTAAATATTTATAACAGTAAACAAGGACGGAGAGACTGATGGGTTTGTCAACAGGACTTTTATTTGATAGTAGTGTGGTCTCAAATGACAGGAATATAGTTGCTGACTTGATGAGCGGCGCTGCAGCTACAACTCACAGCGGGACTACTTGAAGCAAATGGTATTTTTCTTTTAGTCGTCCTCCTCTTGTTCCAAACAGAAAAAAAAGCACAAATGTGGCAACGTGTGGTGAGATGTGATCAGATGGGGATTCCAAAAACAAGGAAAAAGGGGGAAAAAAAAGCACTGAGGGGGAAAGGATAAGAATATGGCACATTTGGTCCACCTTGGAAGTTTTATTATGTCTTAAAAACATTTCATAAACAGAAAAAAAAAAGGTGACATCTTAGTTGCACGTGTAGCACAGCGTTAACGACAACAGAGTGGAAACAAGTGTTTGGGAGGGGGCGGGTCAAGCTGAGAACAGGACGGGGGGCAGGTTAACTTTTAACTCGGGAAGGTGATTCAGCCAATCGCTTCTCTTCTCGGTACAGTAATGAAGGTTTAGGGAGGAACTGTGCGACGAACAGGGACGGCGTCGAACATTCACAGGAAGTAGTCGGGAGTGCGTCTGGTCACATGGGGCTCGCCGCGGCGAGGGGCCGGGTCAAACTGAAGGCTGAGAAGGAAGAGAGGTACGTGCGTTACTAACCGATCGAATGGTCGATTGACTGACGAGCAGCGCTGCCTGATGGACTTACAAAGAGTACTTGAGGGTATCGTCCAGTTCCATAATGGCCGCCTGATTCCCGCAGCGGTAGCAGTAGTTGGGCGCGCTGAAGATGGTCACCACGTTCTTGTCGTGGCCCCAGTTGTAGCCCTGCAAGAACAACGCAAGTGTAACGTCCCGCACTCGGCCGCCTAGCGAGAGGGGCGCTTGAGAGCTCGCGGCACTCTCTGTCACCACGGAAACCGCACTGAAAGAAAACTCGTGTGGTGCCCGCACTTGAAAACAGAAGTTTCAAAAGCGTGCCGTATTACCTCCATGACCAGCTGATGCGCGCGTGACACCAGCGTCAGGCCGTTGGCATGGTTGAAGGTTTCGGAGATGTCCTGGCCAAAGGTGTAGCCTGCACCTCGGGGGGAGATGCCCCAGCCGCCGCGGTCGTCGGGGTCCGACCACAGCAGGTCACACATGGGGCCCTGCAAGTGAGGGGTGGGAAATCCATCCAGCACACCGATTACTTTCACATTTGACACTCACGCCGATTTGGAAAGGAAGCCCACCTCATGCGGGACCTCCTGCAGGCGGTCCAGAGCTCGTATGTGGTCCAGAGTGTCTATGGAGGGCGACAAGCCGCCATGGAGACAGAAGATCTACAAGAAAATCAACAAGATGATGACAAACGTGAACACGCACCCCACCCACTCTGAGAGGCGGAACAACGGCGGCCACGCCCACCTGCCCGTCGACCAGCGCGGTGAGCGGCAGGTAGTCAAACAGGTCTGTGAAGTACTTCCACACATTGGCGTTGCCGTACTTCCTCAGGCACTCGTCATAGAAGCCGTACACTTGTGTAATCTGCCGGGACTCGTGGTTCCCTCGCAGGATGGTGATCCGCTCCTGGAAACGCACCTGAACGCGCCACACCATACACTCCATTGAGACTGTTCAAATTTCTAAATGGTCGCCAATACATATTTACATACAGAATATACACGGTTGATGATTCCTTTATACCTCTCAATTTATAGTCATAAAATATGATTATGCCTATCAAATTCATCAGGACATACCACTATCAATAATAATATAGTTCCTACTTTTCACAGATCCTCCCCTCCCTAAAATAATGTCCCGTGTCATTTTTGGCAGAGAACACACATACACACAAACAAAAAAAAAACGGCACCAAATACCTGTCATATTCAAAGATCAAGATTTTCCGATCATTTCAAATATCTCACCATTAAATCTAACTCATAACCTGTCTAACTCAATTTTTTAATCTTAAAATGGCAATCATAAAAATAAATAGATGAAAAGAAAAACAACGACCAAGTGGTTGCACAAGTGTGCACACCTTACAACTGAGGATGTGGTGGTGTTCAGAATTAAGCAATTACATCCAAGCTCAATCAAATACATAGAAATAACAAGAATGTGTCATTTGACGAGGGGAGTATCGACTTTTTATATGTTCTGTACCAAACCATCTATGAGGAAAAGTCTGTGGGCGGACCTTTAGCGTGACGAGCAGTGTGACCGTCTCCACCGAATAGTAGCCTCTGTCCACGTAGTCCCCCATGAACAGGTAGTTGGTGTCGGGGGACTTGCCACCGATCTTAAAAAGCTCCATCAAGTCGTGGAACTGGCCATGCACGTCGCCGCACACCGTCACCGGGCATCGTACCTGAAGGCAGCACAGCGCCCGGTCAATCAACTCGCGTTCACCGCTTCATGCCGATATGCTGACTGCTCAGCTACAAAAATAAAACCAAGGCGTGATGAGAAGCCTCACCTCTTGGACGTTTGACTCCTTGGTTAGGATCTCCTTGGCCTGGCGGGTGAAAGGGGGAAGAAAAAAAAAAGTCATGAGGCATATTGTGCCCCCCCCACCCCAACAAAAAACAGAAGTGCATGCTGTAAAGTAATAAATAGGCAGGCTGCTATGTGAGTGATCATGTGATCTCCAAGCATCTCTCACACACACACACACACACACACAGCTGAACTTTTCCCATTTCGTTCGTTGTTAATTCAAAAAGAATGATTCGCTAAATGCACAGCATAAATTTTGCTATGGAAGGTAACGTGGTTGTAGGGTATCGAGGACAACGTTCGTTTGGGTTTATTCCAGGGGAAAATCTAAAGACTTCTAACGAATCAGAGAGCACAGTCAAAGACGCCTCAATAAAAAGGATGAATCGAAGAAGCAAGGTTACTGTGGTTCAACACACGTCAACGCCAATAACGCGAACGTCTGCCGACACATGAAAATGAATGACGCTCGTCAGTAATATGGATTTTTAATTCTGCTTCACTTGTCACCCCGTCGTCATGACAAGCAACACACTTTAGATTGAAATAAATTCGACTTGACGTTTGTACGTCTTATCGTTCGTTTTAGAGCCGCGGTAACGTCTCTTTATCGAGCCTTGTCAGCTTGATGCAATAAATCAGATGATCGATATCGATGGGGCGCGGTGCACAACACCGTAAATGAACGCACACTGGACACAAACCCATCGTATGTCTTGTTGGTCTTTACGAGAACACACCCATGACATTTGAAACACATATGAAACATTTGTCCGGTCGGGACATGAAAGGCTAATGAGACGAGCAGTAAAACCGGCTCCGTCTATTGAGTGGATCGAGGGAAAAACGATGCCAATTTGGGAGCCTCGGATATCCCGACACGACGATTAATTTGGACAATCGATGGCTAAGAATATCTTTGAACATGTTCGACACGGTCCTCCGTCGGGTGGCTGACCGTAGCCCGGGGGGAATTACCGGTAGCAAGCAATGGCAACCAGAAATTAGTCCGAGCCAATTTCGCAATGTAGGCCAAACGCTTGGCCGGCGGAATGTTAACTGGAATTTACAGAATTTCCCAAACTTACCTTCTCGCAGAGTGTCCTCACTTGGTTTTCCGAAAGTTGCTTGCACTCGTTTAGCTGTTCGATCCATTGGTCTAACTCCTTCGTAAAAGATTTGTCTTCCATGACAGCCGCGGTAGCTCCGCTAAACTAGCTGCGTTAGCTCGCTTGAAAAAAAAAAGAGGCCCGTTTCGAGGTTAGCTGAATTAGCCTTTAGCTCGCCGTATTGTTAACCCGACCCAGTCCCGCCAAACCGGTTACAAACCCTACGATTCCACCGACAACTAGCGAGCCGTCCGGTCAAATTTGATCATGATAAGATACCAAGGATGAATTACAGGCGAAACGAGACGTCTTATATCGCCCGGGGGATGTGAGGAGGTCAGCAAGTCCCCGTTGCGGCAGACCGTAGCGGCAGAAGGCAGCGGCTAACCGATGTGCTAAAAGGGTTAGCTACAATAACATCCGGGCATTTCACCAGCAGCCGTGGGCGCTGCACAAGCGACATCGGGTGGAAAGATGGTGAACTGCAACGCTTTGCGAGTGGCACTTTTTTGGAGGTTTTGAATCAAACATGGGTCGGCCTGGAGGGACCGTGGTTCGCCCGTCGGCCTCACAGTGCAGAGGTGTAGGGTTCGATTCCGGCTACGACCTTCGCAGTAGGCGGTTGCCAGCCAATCGCAGGGCACACAGAGACAAATAACCATTCGCGCTCACACTCACACCTAGGGACAATTTTGAGTGTTCAATCAGCGTGCCATGCATAGTAAAGGCATAGTAAACTTTCATTTGAGGTCCACGAAAGATAATTCATTCAGGAACTGCAATATAAGCACCTTGAAATAACACTTGTTCTTATTTCAAGGTGCTTACATGTGAAAAATAAAATAAAATAAAAAAGACAGAAACAAAAGAAAAGGGTACGCTTAATGAATCAGTCTAGATGGGGTTTTAAATTCTCTGTTGAGAAAACAAAAAATATTAGTAGTGGACAAATACAAAGAGTCACGTACACTTTTTTTTTGCTCAGATTCCATTTAACCGGTAACGAGGTGACAAGTTAGTCATTCAAAAAGCAGACCGGAAATTGTCCTGGAAATTCAAACTGGATCTAGTCCAAATATCGAAAATTGGGAAAGCTGCCCACTTCTTTCGAGGTACAGTATTTAAAGGCTACGGGTTTGGTTTGGAAAAAATACCAATTCTGAAGAGGGGTTGCTCGTGCGTGCGTGTTTTGTCCCGGGTTAACAATTGAGGGATTCACAGTCCTTACCAGTAGGTTGCGGCAATGCACCTGAAACCACCATGACACTTTATACGAAGAAGAAGGAATCGATCACTTCCTGCCGGAACTGTACTGGCGGTGCTGCTGAAAGCGAACAATCGTACACCCTCACATAGTCGGCGAATGATCGTGCGTAAAGAAGCTACAAAGTCTTATTGATAGACTTTTGCCTTTAGTGGACACCCAGAACCCGTGGAGGCGCCAACACGATTGCCAAACATGGCCCATTTAACGAAGAACCCTGCCGACAAGGAACGGTGCGTTGTTGCTATTGCTAGCGTAGCTAAGGCTAACGTTGTTGACCCCAGCATGAATGAAACTCTAACTAATGGTTGCAGCGGAATTCCACGATTATCACTGAACGTCTTGCATTCACGATTTGTTTGCGGCAGTCAAAAGTTATTTGAGACCGACTGTAAATCGTCAATTTCAATGGCGTTGCAGTGAAGTTTGTGCCTCTTTAGTTCCCGAGTTGACCCCAGCATGAATGAAACTCTTAACTAATGGTTGCAGCGGAATTACACGATTATCACTGAACCTCTTGCATTCACGATTTTTGGGGCAGTCAAAAGTTATTTGAGACCGATTGTAAATAGTCAATTTCAAAGGCGTTGCAGTGAAGTTTGTGCCTCTTTAGTTCCCGTACAACGCGACTCTCTGGCATGACGTGGTCAACTGGCCCCTTAGTAAACTGATATATGAGCACTTCTTGGAACCCAAGATGCACACAAAATGGAGTGAAATAAAAAAGAAATGATTCTACGTGACACCCATCGTACCGACACTAAAGCTTCGCATGTCCGTGACAGCACTGAGTTGTTCACACAAATGAATGTTTTGCAGTTGCAGCTGTTCAAATCGCTCACCGTTCTGTTCTATTAAATGTGATTTTTGTAGAGAAAATAATCTGCTTAAATAATTTTTCGATCCGTAATTTAATCCAAAATTAAGGTTTTCCGCTTCTTCTGGCATCGAATCTTTCCTAGCTTGCTGTCTGAATTCTCTCTCTCTCTTTCACTCACTCACACACACACACACCGTTTTATTCTATTGCTGCCAAAAATTTGGGGCTAGCTCGTGCTCTTAGTTTTTGCTGTTAGCTGAGTTTCCTAAACTAGCTTAGCTGGAAATTTGTGTTGGAGCTCTTGGTTGTCCAGTTCACGCAGAAATGTGGAAGTGTTCTGTGCGATGGCATAAACTTGTTGAATATTTGTTTAGTTGAAATGTTACTCATTTCCCAGGTAGCTGAAATTCTACCAAAATACAGTAGACATTTGGACTAAATTGCTTCCCACCACTGAAATATTTGTTTTCAAAAGTTGAAAAGTTACTCATTTCCCAGGTAGCTGAAATTCTACCTAAATACAGTAGACATTTGGACTAAATTGCTTCCCACCACTGACATTTACTGTACTTTTGTCACTTTTTGTTCAATTTAGTTTTTAACAGGTTGGAATGTCTTTTGTCCAGGTTCATCTGCGTTTATCCTGTCTACATCAACAGTAAGAAGACTCTGGCTGAAGGACGAAGGATCCCTGCCGAGAAGGTGACAAATTGACACGAGTCTGAAATTTTAAAATGAGCTCAAGGATCAAAGGTTTTTTTTTTGTTTGTTTATTTCATCGGATGATCTAAAATGGATGTCTGCGTGCAGGCAGTGGAAAGTCTGAAATTTTAAAATGAGCTCAAGGGTCAAAGGTGTCTTTTTGTTTGTTTATTTCATCGTATGATCTAAAATGGATGTCTGCGTGCAGGCAGTGGAGAACCCTTCGTGCGCGGAGATCCGCGACGTCCTGACAGCCGCCGGCGTGAACGTCCTGGTGGAGGTGGCGACTTGGCTCGACTTCCTTCTCGCGATGCTCTTTGGACAGGCAGTCAGCGCTTGACTGTTAATTCTGTTGTTGTTTTGTGTCCAGAACAAAATGCATCCCAGGGAGTGGAACCGCGACGTACAATTTAAAGGTCGAGTCAGAGTTCAGCTGAAGGAGGCGGACGGCAGCTTGTGTCACAATAAGTTCTCCTCGCGTAAGTCAGCCACACGGGAATCGTACAGCTTGTGTGTGGCGATGTGCATATGAGCGGCACTAATCGCAAGCAAAATCGGGATTGGAATCAGAATCAGGACTGGGGCCGGAAGTTGAACTCAAACTTGCACTCGAGCCAGATTCATAACCTGGACCAGGACTAAATGTAGAAGGAAAACCTGAACCGCTACCCCAACGAGAAGTGAAACCAGATGCACAATTAACACCAGGACAAGACTTAGAACCAGAGGTAAAACTACACCTAGAATCAAAACCAGAAGTACAAGAAAGAAGACCGAGAGATCTAAATGTCACCCTAGTTTGCCACAACTGCGATCGACGGTCGCCCAAATTGATGTTGACATCTTGACTTCATGCTCACACGAAGCTCTGAACAGATGAGAGTAATTGGCCGAGTATTTGGGATTTTAGGGGCGTTCCCCTCGTCATCGAGGCGCTCCACTCGCGACAAAGATTGGCAACGTGGACGTATTCATCGCGTGTACGCCTTCTTCGCCAACCGTATTTTCAGTCACGTTGTGATTGGCTTTTGAATCTTCAAGGAACTTTGACACTTGTTCACGGGAGCAACAAATGCGCATCGTATGACGACCTGTTTGTGGATGTTCCAGGCAAGGAGGTGATGCTGTACGTGTCGGAGATGATCCCCAAGCTGAAGAGTCGCGCGCAGAAGAGCGGCGGAGGCGAGAGCAGCTCGCAGCAGAACGACGGAAAAAAGACCAAGAAGAAGAAGAAGTGAAGCCGCCTCCATTTCGTATTCTTGACATCCCTTTTGGTCTGGTTTGCATCCAGCCTCAAACCGTACGGAACTCCTCGCACACTTTGTTGTATTTTGGATACTTTTGCAAGAGCCGCGAAGCGCCGCATCCCTTCCCCCCTCAGAACTTTGCTTTGGTTTAAAACAGAAGGAGAAAGAGAGTCTCTTCAGATTTTCGATGAGGACGAGATTAATTGAATGAATGTTTATTTGGTTCAATTCTTAAAGGACAACATTAAAAAGTCTTGATGAACTGCATAATCTCCTTCCAAAAAGGTCCGTCGCATTTCCAAAACATCCCAACTGGAGGCCGTGTTTCCGCTTGAGAACCTGGAGCGCGGGAAGCATTTTTCTCAAGTCGGTCGTCATTTAACGGGGCCCAGAAAAAGAGCCTCCAAAGCCAGAATATCGGAAAACCTGAACCACCACCACGATTTAAAATCACAAGAAGAACTGGAACCATAACGAAAGTCTTGAAGCAAAATTAAACCCTGAAACAGCAGGCCAAAAACCACAACTAAAATATGATGCGGCATTAAAACCTGAACAGGAATCAAGACAAAAAAGGTACGTTCCAAATGAGAGTCAGACCAAGAAATAAAACTCAAATCGAAACCACAGGAACCAAGACTACAACTAATGGAACCGCAACCGGAAGTAAAACATGATTAAAAAGGTGAAGTAGAACCAAATCGAAACCAGAAGCAAAACTATTCGACCTAAATGGATTAATTCGCTTCTCAATGGATGTACACGTTATGATTCATGCAAATAAATGAGAACAAACATAGCGCATCCATTTATTATTCAAAAACCTTCCCAAAATGGGGACACAAGCACCCAAAGATTTCAGAAATTATGGAAGAATACATCCAGTGACGTATTTTCTCGGAAAACAACCCCGGGATTTCAAAAGTGTGACATATTCACTTTTTTTATTGACGAACACGGATTGTGCCTGTTCAGAGGGTCTCACGGCGTCGTGGGATGTTTACACCCGTCGCTAGGCAACGGTTACCTGGCGAGCAGCTGAAAACCATTCGCACCAAAGCCGACCGAGTGACGTCACTGACCCCGCGCCGCAGAAGCCGTCGAACGGTCGCGCCGCCGGATCGCAGGACTCTCGACATCTCCGAAATGACGGGCGTTCACATCGACCCGAGCCGGGCCCCGGTCGCCTTCGGGCGGCTGGCCATCCCGGAGCTGTTCGCCCAGCTGGTGGAGCCCGACGCCGCCAGGAGGCTGCGGGCGCTCGCGTCTCTCTGCGACCTCACGCACGACCCGGAGCGACTTTACCAGGTGGTCAGTGAAGGTACACGCTGGTCGGTGCCGCCTCGAGCGGCGTTGGGGAAGTGGTTGCGACGCGTCAACGCCTCCGCCATATCGGATGTGTCACATTGGCCTACTCAAATGGACTGGTGACAAATTAGGCAAAGTCAAGGCCTCTCGTTCACACCGACTTCCATATTTGGGAAACACGAAGAGGAAAAACGACTTTTAATCTGGTGATTTTAAAACCTTACTGCGTGTGCCACTGGTACCGCCACGATAAAGATCGAAATACTCGTATGAACTATGACGTCTGTCTTTAAGTACCGCTTCCTGAAAGGTACGCCGTGTCCCCAACGTTTCGGGAGATTCGGTTACGTTAAGTATAAACAAGTGATTTTCTTGTGTTGCTGCCTGCCACCCCATTCAAGTTGAGTCAACTTAAACAATTGTGTCAAATAACTTGCTTTCATTCGACCCAGAAATCGTGTCACCTTCATTGTCTTTTGGTGAGCCACCATATCGTTCATATGTGGAGAAATGGACGTGTTTTTTTTTTCTTTTCTGAGGAAATAGCACCAAGGTTTACACTTGACTGGTTTTGCAGGTTTTCTGGACCAGTTGGAGGTTCTGCTGAAGGATGGAGATGCGGCAGTGAGGACCAGAACCTGCGAGCTGCTGCATCTTGTCACCAGCCACAACATTGCCAGGTCAACGTCCATTTTGAAAAAAATATATATTCGCAATTGGACTTCGGTTCGGAGTCCGAAGGGTCAGCGAGCAAAAAAGCACTTCGCATGTGAGAACAGCGCCCACCCTTCGGGGGGGATTTGCTCCAATAAAACGTAGCACTTCCCCGAGTTACCTGCCATGCTTGGTGGAGTTTTTGCCTTGCGTTGCCAGCCCAAAATTTGATGGGCTTCTTGAGCGGAGTGAAAAAAAAAATAGACCAGTGGAAGTACAGTAGTCATGCCCGTTCAGCTGTTTACCGAATCGATAATACACAAGAGATACCACAGGGGGGCGGCAAAGCGCTACTTAGGATGAGATAGACCCCCTTAACTCCCTTCGCTTCAGTAATTACACTTTGTCAAACCAGTGCAGTCTCTTTTCGAGTTGTGGTACACGACAGTGCTATTTTTTTTTTCTAGCATTTTTTTTTTTTGTTAGCATGATAACAAGCTAAGCGACTCGCTGTTTGCTCGCCAGACAAGCCCTCCTGTCCTCGCCCCTCCTGGCCCGTCTCTCTCAGCTGCTGGACGACCCGTCCCCGCTGTGCAGGACGCGCGCCCACCGCGTGATGAACAGCCTGGCGCTGCTGCCCGCAGGTAGGCGGGCGCACCTCCATGACATTGCAAAGCGCGCGTTTTTTGACACCCGCGCTCGTCCGGCAGGTGCCAAAGCCTTGCAGGCTCTGGTTCCCAAGCTGATGCTGAAGCTGCAGGAGGAGCAGGAGGAGAAGGAGGAAGAGGTGCAGGCCCTGCTGCTGTCAACGCTCAGCTGCTGCTCGCGCCTGGACGCCGCCCCGGCGCTGTCCCACCGCGGCGTCACGCTCATCGGACGCAAGCTGTCGCACGCCTGCTCCAACATCCGCAGGGAGGCGGCGGGAGCCATGATGGCGCTCAGGTTGGGACCCCCGCGTCTCTTTGCGTTGCTCCCGGAGGTGAAACGCATTGTGGCGATTGCGGTGATGACCTCCCGTGTGCTGCTGTAGCGTCATCGTCATCGCGATGTCACAGGTGTGCGAGGCGGCAGTCCTTCCCGTTCTGGCGGACCTCCTACGCGACCAGGATGTGGACGTGCAGGCTAACGCCGCCGGCGCCATCATGAACACCGTGGTCATTACTACAGGTGACTTTGCCGCTCAACCGAGTGACCTCCTCCCGACCGATCGGCAGCACTTCTTGTTTGTCCAGTAGGGAAGCATCAATGTTTGGAGCTGGACGTCCTGCCGGTCCTGCTGGAGCTTCTCTCGCAACGCAAACCGGATGTCGAAGAGGAGCAGAGGAGGAAGGCGCTGGTCCTCTACTCGCTCAGAGCTCTCACCTCGTTGGCCGAGGCTCCCGAGGGGCGTCGCCGCCTGCTGCTGCAGCTCCCCCTGCTGGTGGGGAGGAGCGAGCCCCCCGAGGAGGATGCCGACATTCGGCGCGCCGCTCGGACGGCGGTCAACGTTGTCACCTGGACGCCGTGATGAAGTTCAGGCTAACCTCCTCCTTCCTCTTCAGTCAATGAAACACGAGCCACGTGCTAAAATGCTAAGATAGCTTCAGTCTTCGAAGCTCATCTCAGCGTCTGCTGTATATATAGTGTCCTTCAAATTGCAAGGAGACTCTGTCGACTGCTGATGCTAAAAGGCTTCGATCCGTCACCAAGTTGTGACCTTCATCTCGCCGTGGAAACATCCTTGATCTATGAGGTCACCTGAGGTCAAAATGCCAACGTAGCTCAAGTCACTAAGCGAGTACTAACACCCGTACATCCGTACTGTAACAATACTCAGTCATACTCATTCCTAGTTCGCAGATCCCATTTGGAACCCATCTCCACTCGATTTTCTTTTTGTGCGATAAATGTATGGCTTTGGTGCCATCTTGTGGCATGTTGGTACAAAGGAACTCTTGAGTTGTAGCTTGCTTCATTTCGACCAAAGTAGTGCTCTGTTGTGCCATACACGGGCGATGTAACACATGGAGTGTCGCTCATGTTGCCATGGATAGCGTCTGCCACAGTGACAAAACTTTGGTGATTGACTGCGGTGATTCCTTCAAGTAGCATTTCCGTCAATGGACTTTGTACGACTGACCTGCCAAGTTCAATGGAAATACATTAAGGTCAGCGCACTCATTCAATTATATCTGTCCTGCCTAATTTCCATCAGTAAAACCAAATTAAAAAATCCACAAACAGGTGAAATGGACCTTTTTAGTATTTCTATCAGTAAAACCAAATTAAAAAAAATCCACAAACAGGTGAAATGGACCTTTTTAGCATCCGAATGTTGTTTGTTCAACGTGTATTTGAAAAGGAAACATTCACAGCCTCTTATTAGTCATCGCGGCGGTCCGTGAAATCGATTCACGTGTGTGTATGTATGTCATGATGTTTTAAAGACCTCTCCGACACCCACGACACCCCCGAGGCTGGAGCTAATGGACTGCTCCATGCACACGCACGCACAGGCACGCGCGCCAGATGAAGAGGAGGGAGCGAGTGCGGAGGTTCACTCGCTCGCTCGCCCGCTCGCCCGCTCGCTGGATGCTGCTCATACGCGCAGGACGCGCGGAACGCGCACGCACGGACGCGCGCACGCAGGTAAGGAGAAGCACCTTTCTTTTGAGTGCGTCACGTGACGAGCATGAATGGAACGTAACCAACGTGCGTGCGCGGAACACAAGTCGTAAAATGTCTTGGATATTGCGCGCTCCCTGTCGCCGGCGTTTGCGCGCGCGTCCCTGCGTGAGGCGGCGCGAAGTGAACTTGATAAAATGCGCGTGTACGTGTGTCGACGCGCGCCCACCTCCCAAAAAAAGTCGTGAGCGTCAACATCAAAAGGCGCGCTTATGAGTGGCGGGAGCTGGTCCCTCGTGAATGCGCGCGTCACTTTTCATCATCATCATCATCATCATCGTCATCGCGATGTATTGATGTATGTATGATCATGCAGTGACGTAAGAGCATATGTCGAGGGGGAACGGGGAAGAGGAGGAGGGATTAAGGAGGAGAGAATGGTTTTATGTAACCCAACTCACACACACACACACACACACACACACACACACACACACACACACACACACAGGTGCAAAGCACGAGGGAGCGACGATTCAGACCCACACTCAGGTGAAAACCCGCGAACTAGGGAGCCCGCGTAAGATACTGTAGGCATGATAGAAACATTGTTCCAATTCGACACTTTTTGCGCTCACTCTTGCTGTCGAGAAATGGGAGACTGTCGTGTAACATCCAGTTGGGGAAATGGAAAGAAGACTCGCTCGCACAGTTCTCCAAGTAAGAGGTCAGGTGTGCTTGCTTCAAGATGTTGATCGGTCCCAAATGTTTGCACGTGGTGCAGTGCCTGACTCTTTTTAAAAATCCATCAAAAGTGACATTGACCGCCTGTGATATTGCGCGGGCGTGAATGCTCAAAGCACTAGCTTAGCATCCAGACGCCACTTGACTGACTGTGATGTCGGCTCCATATCACCGATGATGTTAGCCCGGTAGCATCACACTACCTGACGCGGCGCCTTTTGATGGAGATGTTGATCTCGTGACGTCGCCATCAAAGTACAGCAAACGACGTTGCGTAGCCGCAGTCGCCCAGGCCCGGGCCGACGCAAGCGCGGCTGCCGGCGTACGCCTACGGCCTCCTCCGATCCCCGCTAAACATTCGCACCCAGCCGCGCACCAGAAAACCGGGCGGGTCACGTGTCTTGGCCTGGGACACAACCACACGCGGGTCAGACGCAATGGAGCGAGGAGTGAGATTATTAAGGCAAAATCGAACCAAAAAAAATGCACTTTCGATGAGTGAAACGGCTATGTGACTTTTCCCACTGTGTGTGGGGGTGGAAGCAGCCAGAATATTCGGATGAGCGTTGTGGCACCAACAAAGTGCGGATTGTGTGTGTGTGTGTGTGTGTGTGTGTGTGTGTGTGAGAGACATGTCATCACAACAGCATGTGGTCGTTGAGCAGGTGAAGGGCGAAAGTCGCCCTGAGTTCGAGAAATGTGTCGCTGATTATCTGTGAGACCAGCAGGGGGTTGTGGGGGGGGGGAGTTATGACGTCAGAATGAGGCCACAAGTGCAGCCCGTGCGTGTGCGTAATTAGACAGCAGACACACAAAATGATTCAAGTGCTGGAACGTTAAGTCGCTGACTGAATTGACAGATGGACAACACACACACACACACACACACACACACATACACACACACACACACACATATATACAGGCTGTGTTGTCATGACGACAGCGCCATGAGTAATCTTGTGTTTGTCTTTCAGGTGGGAGCTTTTTTTTTGGGGGGGGGGTAAATGTGTTTATTTTCAGAACAAAGTTAAAAGATGAAGGTAAAAAAAAACAGTCGGGACGATTCCGTGAAGGTTCCCATCCTGTCAATCACAATGCGACTGAGCCCGTGATGGCCCGGGCCGCCGATGGCAGCCGTTAACACGCCGATGGCATGTGGGTGCGGTCACATGTGTGTGGCCCAGATAAGCTATGAGGGGCCGTCAAGGTCAAAATTCATTACCTCTCATTTAAACATACACACACACAACACACGCCCAAGTGAAATACTTCTGAAATGCTCTCACACACGCTACTGAAATCCTCTCACACAGCCAAATGAAAGCCTTTCATACATCATGCTCATGCGCAGCATATGCTGGAAAACGTGTTTCAGTATTATGTGTGAGAGCGTTACATTAGTGTGTGTGAGAGGCAATGATGGCGCTGAGAGCTCCTTATAATAAGGGCACGCGCACCCGTGTCTGTTGAGGTAATTGCACGTCCCAGAAACGAATGAAAAAAACTCCAAAATCGAAAAAAAAAAAACAAACAAACATTTTTGTTGTTTTGTGTGCTTATGTGTATGCATGTATGTGTGAGTGAGCGTGTGTGTACTGTACGTGTATGGGTGCGTTTGGCTTCAAAATGGGTCAGCGTAATGTGCTGATTCAAGCTTTCAATTTCATGACTCGTAGCTTTTGACAGTTGTTCTCAAATCATCCCGAAGTCGCATCTCGAAAGGTCGTTTTTGGGCGACAAAGTTGAAGATGACATGATGGCGTGTTGCCGTTGCTTACGAAGCTTCCCGCTTTGTCCAGCAAACATCAGCGGAATGCTGGCAGATAGCAGTCGGTTGCTAGGAGACGGCCGGCCGCACTCAACCAATCAGGCGATGATGACGTGCTGAAGGTGCTGCTGGCCTAAAATAGACCCCCTGCGTTCATTCACACACACACACACACACACACACACACACACACACACACACACACACACACACACACACACACACTCTGATGTATTCCTAGATTTCCCAGAATACCTTTTCCGATGACTCTGTTGAGGCGTGTGAGAATCAGTACAGAAACTAATTTTTTTATTTTTTTTGTTCCGTTTCATTCTTTTGTCATTATTTGAATTTTTTTTTTACATTTAGGAACAATCCGTGACATTTCCCTTCTCTGTTGTCATTGTCTCTTCTGTCTTTCCTTTCTTCTTTGTTTGGATGTAAATTAGCTCGTTAGCTTGTTAGTCGAGGTCACTGATTGTCTTCATACTCAGGTCCTGGGAGCATGCAGACCTTCTTCACTGATTTACACCTCACACACACACACACACACACACACACACACACACACACACACACACACACACACACACACACGCACACACAGTGGGGCATCTAATCTAAAGTCCAAACTTGACCTTTGCTGACTTTTGTTTCATGGTGGTGCATTCAGGGGCTGTCGGGCAAAAGAGGAATTTGGCATGAACCGCCTTGGTCGCTTAGCAATGATTCCTGTAAGTGATATATGACCATAGACCGGGTTTGTGATATTACGGAATGTTGGCGACACCACTCAGAGGTGTCTCAGTACATCAACGTGATACTCTGTTCTGATTTATCGGTTCTCGTATTGATTGATTGTGAGTGAGCTCTCTCTTGAGACTAACAGGAAGTACCAGCGTCTTCTGTGACCTTGAACTAATAAAATGGCCGTGGAGCATACGCCTGTACTTTAGCATTTGGGACCCGGTCAATCTGGATTCCGAGCCTCCTTAGATGATGGTGGCGCTCATTTGGTGATGCGACTCATCAGCAATGCACACGCTAATATAATACAAAGGACTACATTTTCCTGCGACGTTCCAGTTTGATGATTTGTCGAAATAAACGCACACGCTAAGGTTAGCTTAGCATGTTTCTGGATGTTAACAATGCAAATGTTCATATCACACCTCACGGTCTCCACTTTGCCGCATTGCTCCGTTTTGTTGACCGATGTGTCATTGGTGGAGATGACTCATCAAAATAAACATCGACATGCTAATGTTAGCTCTGCATGCTAGCAGTTCACAATCTCCACTTTACCATCTAAAGACAAGCAACACGTGTTATGGCGGAGAAAGTGACCTCAGCCCCCAGATGACTGTTGACCCATGAATAATAGCTCGGACTCATGAATAATAAACGACGTGAAAGCACAGATCGATATATGACTCAAGTGATGATGAAGAGAAGTGCGGGCGTCTATCAAAACTCTTGTTGTCCCACACACATTGTCACTCAAGTGCGCGTGTGTGTGTGTGTGTGTGTGTGTGTGTGCGGGTGTGTGCGTGCGTGTGCGTGTGTGTGTGTGATACACAAGTTAGTAAGCTGTCGTTTGTTCTATTCTGTAATGACAACATTCCAGAATGATCTCTTTATGTTCCATGGAAGCATCCAGAGCTGAGGCCCATTGTAATGTCATGCTTGAGGCTAATATTTATCTTCTAAAATAAAATAAAAAAAAAACACAAGCAAAGGATTTCCAAAGACCAAGAGGTACTTGCGCGCCCAGTAAATCTGTAAAAGTGAAGCTGCTTGCCGCAGGAAACACACACACACACACACACACACACACACACACACACACACACACACACACACACACACACACACACACACACACACTAATTTCCTTTTTTTTTTCTCTCGCGTGTGTTCCAGGAGTGACCAGTCAGCCGCCGCGACCATGATGATGATGCCAAAGGTAAACAAATATGTGAGTTAGCCTCAAGGGTTAGCATGCCTAGTGGGACGTATGTGTTGCGTTGCAGAGGCCTCAGACGTCCCCGGGCAGCGTGCTGTCTCTGCGAGGTGGCGCCAACGTGCCGGGATCCCCCGCCGCCGCCATCGTGGTGAGCGGCCTGCTTGGACTTTGCGGTGTTATCGGCATCCATAGCCCCCCCCCCACCACCCTTCAACTCTGTCCCCCCCGCAGGCCCGTGTGGACGACGGTGTGATGGTTTACAAGGACCTGGCGGCACTCCCGAGGGACAAAGCCATCCTGGACATCGAGAGACCAGACTTAATGACGTACGAGCTGCACTACAACTACAGTCCACTGGAGGTGGCGGTGAGTCACTCGGCTCTCCTCGTGGCATTTGAATGCGTGGTGCCTAATTTGTTTCGAATTTATTTTTGTTGCTGTAGGCATTGGCTTGTAAGCTAATTTTTTTTGTTGTTATTGTTGCTTATGATTTAGTCTTTGTTTTTTATTTTCCTTCTTTGTCGTCCGTCGTGTGATTTTTGTCATGATCAGTTTGTTTGTTGCATTGTCACCAGTGTTTGTCTTTTTCCGAATGATTTGTCGGTCGCCGTGTTATGAATGTTTGATTGCACTCTGACGCTTAACCACACGATTGCCGTCTGTGGCGCAGAGGTCGCTGTCTCCCGGCTCTTTCTCCCCTCCGACCTCTCCCGAGGTCAGTCCGAGACCAAAGTTCACCGCGTGCGTTTCTGCTTGCTCTTGATCCGTGGCAATCTTTCCAGGGGTCCAGGGTGTGGCTGGAGAAAAGCTCTCCTGCCGGTTCCTCGCCGGCTTCCACCGGCCGGAAACGCAACAGCGGCAACACCACGCCGTCTCCGCACGCGCAACACCCGCCGCATGCGCAAAACATGCAACCTCCCAAGATCTTGCAACACTTCCACAGGCCTGGTAAACTTCCTCAATGCTTCTTTTTGATATGCCGTCCCGTCGATTGTGTCAGTGGTGTCCGGGCCTGGGAGCCCCATGAACTTTTGTTTTTACCGGCCCACTGTGTATACCAAAACCCGTATCTGGCTGAGCGGCTAGCACACGTCGCAAACGTTGTTTATTCATCAGGCTTTGTTCAAAGTTTGTTTGTTCAAAATTTGATGGTGACCAGAATTATTTTTGACGACAGATAAACCCTTTACCCTAGTTGGAATACATTTGACGCGGCGGCTATTTCACCGTTATTGATGTGAAATGTCATTTTACAGACAATGGAAGTAACATCTACAAGAAGCCTCCCATCTACAGAAGAGGTCCGTTGATCACCTGTCAATCATTCGATTCGCCATTAGCATCACGAGCTAACTGGACGCCCCACAATGTGCGTGTCTGCAGGCGCGTCGTCAGCGCTCCCTGCGGGGAAGCACTTGGAGGATCTCATCATCGAGTCATCAAAGTTTCCCGCCGCCGAGCCTCCGGATCCGAACGTTCCCTCCAAGATCGAGACGGAACATTGGCCCTGCCCCCCTTCCTCTGCCGTCTTTGGTACGATCCAAACCTTTAGCTTCTCCTTGTTACGGGAGTGTGGAGCTGCTCGATGGAGAAGAATTGTTCATTCCTGAACATAAATTACATTTCACAAGATTACAACGTTCCGCCTATAAAAAAAGTTGGTTTTTTTGGCTTCAAAAACACCTTAATTCTTGAAAACTTTTTTTTTTTCTCTCATTTATGGAAATGAATTTGTCGCGTCTTCTCTTGCTTCCTTCACTCTTTCTGCGTGTCCGTCATCGTTATTGCTTCTTTCCGGCTGACCTGTTTGTTGATCTTCCCTCAGAGAAGGAGAAGGCGTGTCGCAGGAGCGAAGGCAGGCAAGAAGAAGAGGAGGAGTGCGAGGAGGATGAGAACATTTGGGGGTTGCGAGCGCTTCACAGGCAGGAACTCAACAAGGTGGGAAGGGGCGTGGCTTGCTGCCATGACGATGGATGTCACGAGCGCCTTTGTGATCGCGTCTTTTTGCCTTCAGATTCAGTCCAACATCGGAAGGATCATCCTGAAGGAGGAGCTGGACAAGTCGGCCGCTCCACTGAGAAGGAAAACGCGCTCGCTTCCGGACCGCAGCCAGCACGCAGGTACCGCACCGGCGTCTTATGAGTACAGTACTGTATGTCATCAAGCTAACTTCCTGTCAAAACAATCTTCGACCATCGGTAACTTGGCAAATGAGTGCCCCAACTTTGGAGTGTTACCATTCAAGTCTTGACTCGTCAAAAAAATAAAACCAAAGAGAATAGCATGAAAAGGTCCATAAAGGTAGAATTCTGGTGACATCTGATGGTCTTGTTGAGGACTGCACACATACTTTGAATATGGAAATGGCTGACATTAATGATGGTTTGGCAAATTGACCTGACCTGTACCTGAACTCCTCTCGTCACTTCCTGTCTCCTATGCAGGCACCACCACTTCCCGCGCTCTTTGTTTCCCAGCATCCACTGGTGCAGGCCTAGCCAGAGTGAGTGAGTGAGTGTGTGAGTATGTGTGTGTGTGTGTGTGTGTGTGTGTGTGTGTGTGTGTGTGTGAGAGACACACATTGATGTGGTGTTCAGGTGCTGAGCATTGGGCTGGTGTTCTTGTAAATTCCAGTTGCAGTCGACAGAATTCAGCCCGGCGGAGAAGCCCGCTCAAGGTACGCCCCCAGGGAGATTCCAGGACCATGTGCTGGGTTCAAAAGCCCTAATGTGTGTGTGTGTGTGTGTGTGTGTGTTATGTGTGCATGTGTGTCTTCCACAGGTGTTCAGGTAGAGTGTGTCTTCATCATTGTGCAGTGTGTCGGCCATGTTGTGGTGATGTGTGTGTGTTTGTGTGTCAGAACGGAG